TATATATATATATATGTTAATGTTCACCAGAAATGGAGAGTCTAATGGAGTAAACTAGCACACTGCATTGTGGGAAGTGTAGGATCCAGGGTTTCTGGATCCCATATTAATTTATTGTGGCTTTTGCTGCATTGTCTTCCTTTAGGTCAATCTCTGCTAAGTCCCCAAACTCTATGAAAGTAATCACCACAGTAATCAATAAAGAAAAAAGTTTGCTTAAAACAACTCGGTTTAACTAATACCTAAAACCATTAATCCTCCAATAGGTGATATCTTAATCAGGAACATTACTGAATGTAAAGACAAACTAAAGGCATGAAAAGAGAACATTCTGGGGTTTTCAAGTATACTGCAGCAGATAGAACAGTTCACCTTCTCCAGAGCCTTCCTGAGCGCTGACTTATCTTTACTAAGACGTGCCAGTACCCTCTCCATCTCTGCTCTTTCTCTCTGTAGCTTTTGCAAAGAGCTCTGGAGATTGGTGACCTTGCCTTGGAGTTCCTCCTTCTCTCTCTGCAGCTGCTGGGAGCTTCCCTGTGCCTGCAGTTCAGCTTCCTGCCGCTGCATCATACTCTGGGACACAGTCATTTACCCATAGTCAAAATACAGCAACAGCTTTTGCACCTTTAGTTACACTTTAACCTCAGTGTGACTCACCTCCTTCAGTGTCTTGTTGTGTTTTTCCAGCTCAGAAGTTTTAAGCTCAGAGTCCTCCTGGGCTCTTTGAAAATGCTGGACCCGTTCTGTTAGCGTGTGGCTGAGTCTCTTATTCTCTGAAAGGGCATCTCGTGTGTTGTCCAGACGTTCCTATGGGCATATTCATGTTGACATACATTATACAACAAGCCACACAGTTTCATCAAACCATGATCTTGAACCTAGGCTGACATAAAACTCCCCACCTTCCTCTATGTTGAGTCTCTTTCACAGTTTGACATTCTGTATAAAGCTAGAGATACCTAGAGTTATGATTTTCTCTTGCTTTTTACTGCAAAGAGCTAACAGCTTTTGAGCAAACCAAGAGATGTAGATCAAACATGTCATGTTTTTGTTTGCTCAGTACAATCCCAAACTAAGACCAGAAAGCTCTCATGAGATGTTCTTAGAGAATTAATGAGCTTGTCTGAGCATTTTATTGCTCAGTCTTTGAGGTCCTCCATGAAAACCACAGAACAAATGTAAATAAAAATGCTCAGTCTGGAGCTGAGATGGTTACATAGCTGCACTGTACATCAAAGCACGGCAATTGAAGCATGGCTATTTATCTTATTTTGTTTCAATCAAACAGAAGAAAGGCTTGCAAATTAAATATACAAAGTGCATGTGATTTGTTTTTAATTTTACAGAAATGAAGAAATGTTTGCCTTCAGTGACTTTCTGCTCAAAGTTTGTAGCTGTACCTTCCACCTGCTGTTGAGTAGTGAGTGTAATTAGGTGATAAACTGTACCTGCAGCAGCCTTCGGTCCTGCTCGCTGGCAGTCAGCGCCCTCTGCAGCTGTGTCATCTGCTCCTGTAGGGCTCCAGTGTTGGCCTTGTTGTCACTAAGCGTGTTTGTCAATTTGTGGATCTGCTCTCTGAGCTGACTCTCATGCTGCTCAGCTCGAGCCAATGACATGGTCAGCCTGTCCTCACTGACCTTCAGTGCTGCACATCGGTCCTCACTCTCACCCAGCCTTCTCCTCATCTCTGTCATTCTCTCCTGCAGAGCTCCTGCCTCTGCATCCAGCTCTGCTGCCATGAGTTTGGCCCGCTGTAGCTCACCCTCAAGGGTGCGCTGGGAAAGCTCCAGGTGGCTCACTCTATTCTCTGCTGCTTCTAAAGACTCCTTCATCTTCTGTTGTTCTGCATTTGCACGAGATTCTAGGCCCTGCATGAGGTGCAACTTATCCTGTGGAGGAACAGGCACAGGGTTTTATCAGTTGCCACTGAATGTGCTCTATACTGTTTTAGTTATTATTTATCTCTTTGTCTTTTACATACTTGCAGTGCCCTGGACTCAGCCTCAGCAGCTTGCAGACTAGTCCTAAGTTGAGCTACCGCCTCTTCAAGGCTTCTCTTTTCCCTATCTGTACAATACACTGCTTCTTCCTGGCGGGATATAGTTGTATCTGCTTCATGTAATCGTTCTGCCATCTCTCTTTTTCCTGTAAAACATGTTAAATATGCTGTATATGTAAAAAAAAAAATGAATAACTGATATTTACTGTATACTTATAGGATTTACTGGCTTTCCTACCCTGCTGTGATTGCTTCAAGGACTTCTGTAATTGTAGCAGCTGGGTGGCTGACTGATCCAGGCTGCTTTGGAGCTCTGTCACCTGCTGACTTAGACTGACTACCTGAGCCTTGGCTTCCTCCTGAAGGAGGAGAATACATGTTTAGAAGACACACTCACACACACACACATACATATAAATAAATACATACATACATACATATATATATATGTTGTGTGTGTGTATGTGTTTGTGTCTTTGAGCCTGTCTTCAGTTATTCAGACAGTTCAAACATACCTTGTCTCTTTGTGCATCCCTGAGTTCCTGCTGGAATTCCCGAAGAGCTGTATACACTGAGTCCACATCCAGCTCTTCATCTTCACCACAAGACAAGCACAACACAGATCTATTTGTCACACTCTCTCCCCCTAACCGGAGACTCCACTCATTAATACTTCTGCTTACAGCAAAAATAGCATCATGATACCTCATTATCACCTTGTTATCTCTGACCATACCTTTTACATGCAAGTGGCTTCTCCAGGAAGAGGGAGACAATTTCTGTGACTCAGGTGTCCCTGAAAGCCACGTACGACTGATGCCAACAGTGCGGCGCAAAGCTGAATACAACCCTGACAGCTTAAGCTCCAGTTCCGTGCGTTTGGCATCACTCAGGCCCAGTTGTTCTGCTAGACTCTGAGCCTTGTTTTCAGCAAGGCCAACCTGGACAGAGAGTTCTTTGATCTGGACCCTGGCATCCTCTAGTGCTTCCTCCAGTTGGGAAAGGGTTTGTCTGTGCCTCTGCTCCCTCTGCTGCTGATGAGACTCTTTTTCCTGCAGCAGCTCTCGACTCTGATGCTCCACTGTCTCCAGTTCCACTAAACGACGCTGCAGACCTGCAACCTGCATAAGCATACAAAACTAAGTCAAAAGAGAAATTTAATATTTGCCACTGGTTAATCATGTATTCATTATATACTGTGGGTTATGTCATAACTGAGGTGCTTACTTTTAAGAGAACATAATCTTTTGCAATATGACAACATAAATACACACACTAGTCAATTCATGTTTCAAATTTTCTCTCAGCTGTCTATATGTATGTGTTTAGTTTGTAGTTTTTTGTAGATGTAAAAATGTAGGTGTAACCAGAAGAGCAGAGCCCACCTCAGTCAGAATATAGGTACACAGCGTGCTATCCTTGGTCTACATAATAACCCCCTAGTTAAATTCCAAGCTTAAAGAGCCCATGGCATGCTTTTCCTTGTTTTCTGACGTATCTATAATGTTACAATGATGAATTATCATCTTAGACATGACCAAACGCTAAAAAAAAAAGAGGTGTACATATGTTAGTATTTCTATGCAGAAGCAACTCGGTTTATACAAGTCTCACAAGTCTTACGTGATAGTTTAAGGATTTCCTTGAATGGTCATCATCTCCAGGCAGTTGCACGTTCATTTGAACTTGCCTGACATCTACCAGTGCCACAAGCAACACTCCATGTCTATGTATAAAAGGAAATGCAGCTCTGTGCTCAGGGAGCTTCTCCTTCAGACTGTTATGTTTGACACTCTGTGAGAGTTCGCTCCTTCCTGCAGGAATAAATGTGCATCAACCTTCAGAGTTGGTGTCAAGTTTTATTTTGCACTCACCGAATCCTGATAAGACAATTTTTGCCATAACAACGTTCACGAGCTATCCTCTTAGGAAGAGGCTCTCTGGTTTTATCATTCTGAAATAATTACAGAATATTTGGAGTTATAATGGGTGCCTAGCTAATCTAGAGGTACCCAGGATTAAACATTAAATGGCTGGAAATAACCAGAATGAGCATGCCATGGGCTCCTTAAATTCTTTTGTGTTGGGTTTCCATCAAAGTGAACTGTGTTTAAGTCATTTGCAGAAATATGGGCAACAGGCTGAACACAGTTCTAAGTACTACAGCTATTGCTGAAAAACAGCAAAACAGCATTGTAGTGTAAAACAAAATGCCCTGAGTTCTATCTAGTTCCTGACATTTAACTGTGTAAATGATTGGAACATGGTTTTCACTCTGCAAAGGCTTATGGTACTTTGAGATGACAAACTTATGGAGTTCACCGAGTTCATTTTCTGGGTTTCAGAAAATATTTTCTAAGCTGTATCATAGGAGTTAGAAAAACAAGAATTATGACTGAGTCATGGGATTAAACAACAATGCACTTTGGAACTGTAACCCCTCTTTACCTCCTCATACTGCAGCAGAGCTTCTCAACCACAGGGCTGGACGCTTGACATGTAGACAAGGTCAGAAGATATTTCAAAGACTGTGTTATTGTTAATTGGTGGATTTGCTCGATATATCATAATAATGTGTGCTGAATTTTGATTTGCAGTACAAGCTCTTGGAAACAGAATACAACAGTAGGCCATAGTGTATATTCACTTAAAAACTTGAGGATATTGATGGGGTTTTAGGAAACCCTAAAGATGGGATTATAGAGCAGAAGAGTGCAAAACCCCTACTTTATAGAAGACAAAACCAATTTTTTCCACACAGTTTTCTGCACTATTGAAATACATACACAATCAAGTTTTTCATGTCTGAAAGTTCTGAGAATTAAACACAGAATTAAAGGTTTCTTTAATTCACTGTTGTTCTGTTAAATTCAAAAAAGATTTCATAGTAAAACTAGAGTCATTGCTTTGCATTTCAATGCCTCCACCAACCGGTCAAATTCATGTGCATGGGACAGACGTGAGGTCACTGACCTTGACCTTGGACCACTAAAATCTAATCAGTTCATCTTTGAGTCCCAGTGGATGTTTGTGCCAAATTTGAAAAAATTCCCAAGGCATTCCTTCCTGACATATTACATTCACAAAAATGGGCCAGACGAACAACCCAAAAACATAATGCCTGTGGCCACAGCTATCGCCAGCATGGAGGCATAATTATAAACATCCCGTCACTGTTACAGTCCAGTTACTGTATATTCATATCTGTATCTGTTCAAATATGTATGCAAATATGGAATGTTTGCTCGCATGATGTTAAAAGACTCATTTCCAGAGGCCTTCTACCTCATTCAGTGCTGCATCTCTGCCAGCCTCACTCTCCAACACTCTCTGCTTGACAGTGAAAGCCTCGCGACGTGCCTCCTCCTCCTTCTGCTCTTCCTGACATATCCGAGCCTGCAAATCTCGCAGCTCCTGTTTCTGCTGGAGATTCTCACCTTCAAGGACCTTTACCTGCTCATGTCAACATAGCACAAACTATTTAAGGGTAATCCTTTATTTAAAATAAATCAGATGGGAAGCAGTGACCTCAATAATCTTTCACCTGTCTGCGCAGCTCCTGCAGCTCTCTGCGTCCCTGCAGGTGAGATTTCTCCAGCTCTCTCATATTGCACCGGAGAGTGGTTGCCTCTTGGTGCATCGAGCTCCTGCATTCCTCTAGTACGACCACTTTCTGCTCTCTCTCCTCCACAATTCGCCTTAAGCTATATTCATTATATTGTTAATATTAACATCAATTTCCACTATGACAACACCAGGATTTACAGAAAATCTGCAGTCTTGTGTGGTAGTTCTACCTGCTGTTGTCACACTCTGCTCTCTTGATTAAGGCTCTGAGCTCCTGGTTAGAGACTTGGATGGCCTCTTTCTCTCTGGTCTCATCACCCAAGACCCTTTTCAGGTCCAGGGCTTCTTTTCGTTGGATGTCCCGATCCTGTGCACACTCCTGGAGCTGTCTGTGAGCCTCAATCAGCTCCCTTTGCCTTTTAGTAAGTCCATCCTCTGCTTCCTGCAGCTCTCGACGAAGGCCCTCTAACTTCATTTCCAGATAAATAAATATAAAAAAGAAAGACATGATATTAAGTCAATATGGTAAATTGGGAGGTCTTTCTAATAAAGTAAATGTCGTAATGTACATTTTAACATTGGTTTTGAAATGTATTATATAAATAAAAATACCTTAGTTATTAGTTATTATGAATATATTCATATCTAATTCTGAGGTTAATAGATAGACTCCCATATACACTTGCAGTCAGAAGTTCCCATACACCTTAGCCAAATACATTTAAAGTCAGTATACGACCAAGCTTTAACTTCCTGGCTGATGTCTTGTGATGTTGCTTCAATATATCCAGATAATCTTCCTTCTACATGATGCCATCTATTTTATGAAGTGCCCCAGTCCCTCCTGCAGCAAAGCCCCCCACAACATGATGCTTCCACCCCTGTGCTTCACAGTTGGGATGGTGTTTGTCAGCTTGCAAGCCTTTTTCCTCCAGACATAACGATGGTCATTATGGTCAAACAGTTCCATTTTTGTTTCATCAGACCAGAGGACATTTCTACCAAAAGTCAGATCTTTGTCCCCATGTGCAGCTGCAAACTGTAGTCTGCCTTTTCTGTATCGATCTTGGAGCAGTGGCTTCTTCCTTGCTGACCAGCCTTTCAGGTTGTGTCGATACAGGACTAGTTTTACTGTGGATACAGATACTTTGGTAACTTTCCTCCAGTGTCTTTACAGGGGCCTTTACTGTTGTTCTGGGATTGAGTTGTAGTTGTCAGACCAAAGTCTCTAGGAGACAGAACTCATCTCCTTCCTGAACGGTGTGATGGCTGTGTTGTCCCATGGTGTTTATACTTGCATAGTATTGTTTGTTACAGATGAACGTGGCACCTTCAGATGTTACTCCCAAGGATGAACCAGACTTGTGGAAGTCCACAATATTTTTTCTGAGGTCTTGGCTGATTTCTTTTGATTTTCCCATGATGCCAAGCAAAGAGGTGCTGAGTTTGAAGGTAGGCCTTAAAATACATCCACAGGTGCACCAATTATTAACAGCTGCTTAAGGTTTGGTTCTGTTCCAGTGGCTTTCAAACATGCCAAGGTTAAGCCCCTTCTCAAGAAATCTCATTTTGACTCCTCGGTCCCATCTATCTTCAAGCCGATTTCTCATCTACCATTTCTTTCTAAAGTTTTGGAAAAATATGTACTTGTGCAGCCTTGTTTAAGGTTTTTAATGCTATTCTTTTATCAGTTGATGCAAAAAAAACCCTGTTTATTGGTTCTTTTAGATTTGACTGCAGCCTTTGATACAGTGGACCACGCCATCCTAATCTCCCATCTTCATACTGTAGGTCTTTAGGGCTCAGCCTTAAATTGGTTTAAATCTTATTTGGACAACAGAAGTTTTTCAGTAATGGTTTCTGGCAGCTCTTCCCCCTCAGCTCCACTTTTGTGTGGTGTGTCCCAGTCCTCAATTCTTGGTCCAGTCTTATTTTCACTTTATATGCTCCCACTGAGGTCTATCTTTGAGAAATATAACCTTTCCTATCACTACTATCCAGATGACATCCAGATCTACTTACCTGTGGGGTCAGTAGGGGGTCTTTCACTGCAGTGATTTTCTGACTGCTTAAATGAAATAAAATTACGTTTGGTGCAAACTTTCTTGTATCTAAATGAAAGTAAGACAGTTGCTTGGTGATTCTGCTACCTTCTCTTCACTGGCTCCTTGTCCATTTTAAGATCAGTTTTAAAGTGTTAATGTTTGTTTTCAAGACATGAAATGGTCTTGGTCCTCCTTATCTTACTGATCTTTTAAGCACCCATAGGTTTCCTAGAGCTCTCAGATCAGCTAATCAAAATTAAAAATGTATCTTTTAAAATTTGCATTTGGCTGCCAGTAGTTTATTGACATTCAGATCACTGTGCTATTGCTATGAGCTCCTGTGGTCTGTCTGTATATCATCTATGTGAAGTTTTTATTGCAATTGTAAAGCACTTTGGCTAATCTATGGATTGTTGTAAAGCACTAAACAAAAAACTCTGATTTGATTTGACTTAATAAGCCTTAAATCACTGTTAAAATAATTTTAAACAAGACCCAAGATAAACAAAATTCATTAGAAGCTTCTATTATGCTGATCCCCAAAGTACACAACTCAAACTGATGTACTTGGTACACTAATCAAAATTAAAAAAGAAAAAACCTCCATCATACTGCAAAATTGATTTTGTATCAGATAATGCATTCAAGTTTTATTGTTTGAAAGCTAAACCTCAGGGTCTCCTATTTTAAGTGCTATGTGCACACCACCAAGATACTGAATGACCTACATTCTGTTTTATAGCAACATGGTGTGTGTAGCACAAGAAATAGGGAGGACAGAGCTTATCTAGGCATGGAAAAGAGCCAGTTGGGCCTGTAGCCAGGTACTGTCTCTTCCCATCTCCTTACTGCAGCTCACAGTATAAAGAATCCACAGAGATCAGCGTGATAAACAGCAGTCCTCCCTGAGGTGACAGGGAAGGAGTGGGAGAGAGGTGAAAGAGGGAGGATGAGGAGCACGATGAGTAGGAGGAGGCCTGTTTTGTTCAGAGGCCACACAAGATGTTTTTTTCTCATAAACTCTAATGTGAGAATAAACAAGCCAGTGCTGATCTGGCCAATTATACTTTATTTTATCAGATTTTTAGGGTGGGGAGCAAAGGAGAAGGGCAGAGAATATGAAGGCTGCAGTGTTGTGCTATGTGGATCGGAGAGGGGGACCTGGAGTCCCAGTGGAGCCAGACTCTTGCTGCTGCAAGGCAGAAAATAAACACTCCCCCACTGGCTTATTTACACAAGGGGTTAACTCAAACTTAGATTTTATATTATGGTACCAGAGACCATAGCCTACCCCCTCTGGTTCTCCCTCCATTCCCTGAGTTCTTCTTTTTTCCTGCTGTCTAACTTTGTCATGCACTCTCAGTCCTGCTTTGTCACTGCCTGGCATGAGAATCCTGAGATGGGATTAGTGAAAATAATCAAACAAGGAAATGTGCATGGGTGGCAGCCAAATATGACAGTGTCACTGAAGCCTGGCTTGATATATGGTACTAGCAAGAGCTGTCCAAACCTCAAAACTCTTCTGCTCTGGCTCCACACAGCCTCATTTACTATACTTTGACAAGACTAAGGAGGCAGAATGAAGACAGGATGATCCTCATTTTTGTTTTTTTATTGAAACCAAAAAGTCCTACAGAGATAAACAATCCACTTTTCCAGGGAAACCAAGCTTTTAAATCAAGGCATAGTGAGGCTCTTACTACTCTGCAGTTGCATCTTAATGAGGTGACTGTGAACTTGTCATTTCACTAGAATATCGAGTGGCCTTCTGCCTGGAATCCTGACCTCACAAGCAACCCCAAAAGTTGAGATTTAAGGCCTTCATTTGGCTCTGGGAGGTCTGTCATTGGGCCAAAATTATAGTCTAATTGCACTTTTATCTTTATATTAAAGTCAGAGGAAATAAATTTTCCTCTAGTTAACTTAATAGGGAAAAGAGACAGAAAGCAAAAGCTGAGGAAGAGTTTTAAGAGTGGACATCAACCTTCCCCTAAGATCTAGAGTGCACCTGACGGCACCCCAATATTAGTAATGGCACCAGCCAATGTCAACAGAGGCCTCTGGTAACCCCCCAGCCAATGTCAACAGAGGCCTATGGTAAATTGCTCTCACTCACACTGGTACTTACTGGTGCAAAATCCCAGCTGCAGTAAAAGCAGATCTGAGATCTCCCATGCTCTGCCAAGCCAAACAAGCCTGTAATCCAGTTCTGTGATCCTACATCCATCTAAGTGACATCCACCCTATATATTCTAAGATTTGCTTTATATTTCCCCTGTCCAAATCAACACTTTAACATTTACTAAAGATTGACATTAGCTGCCATTAGTGTGACTCATCATTATTACAGATATTATTATACACTGGTGCCAGTGCACAGACAAGCATGATGGTTTAAGGTTCTCACCTCCTGCTGTGCATGTTCTCTCTGCTGGTTCATCTCTCTGAGCTGCTCAGTTAGACTCTTCTTGTCATTCTCATGGCAGTTCAAAGACTCTTCAAACTGAGTTTGCAAGTCCTGCAGCTCAGACTGAAGGACAGCCATTGCATTCTGGAGCACAGGGGTTCACAAGTATGTATATAGTTAAAAAAGAAGAGAACTTTTCTGACCCTATCATATTTTACCTGATCCTGCTCGTGTTTGCTAAGAGCCTCCCTCTGCATGTGCTCAAACTTCATGTCTGCTGTGGCCAAGTCCTTCTGCAGGCCAGCTAGCTTCTCCATTAGGGCAGCCTTCTCTGCCTCCATCTGGGATAAAGCCTGGTCACAACAGACTACAAGGTCAAGGTCATATATAAGCTAACAAATAGACGTTAGTTTACTTGTTGGATCTTGGACATACAGAAGCAAATAATGGATAGATAAACTTCCAGTGAGGGACAAGGAATGGGCTTTCATGAGGATACTTAGGACATATGGCTTTTAGTGGACACATACTTGCAATTCTAATAACAGAACTTCAGGTGATAAGGTTATAAAACAGTTCTTTAACCCATGGGCTGCCGTTAAATACTCAACATTTTAGGGTTCATAAACAACTTAAAAACCATAACAAACCTAAGAAGACCACAACACACACCTGCTGCTTTCCATTCTCAGCCTGCAGGAGGCTTTGGTTACAATCCCGCTGCAGTCTGACTAGCTCCTCTTGCACCTGCTGCAGCTCCTGCTGGCTGTGCACACGCAGCAACTCACACTGTCTACGCAGCTGCTCCTCAGCCTGCTCCCGCTGAACCCTGAGCTCCGCGCACTGCTGCTCCTGTCAGGCACCAAATACACACACACACACACACACACACAGATGCATCTAATTAGTAATAGAAAATCAAAGCATCATATATGAGTTTGCAAATACAAACATGTAAGTCATACTGTACCTTTTGTTGGCGGTCAGCTTCTAGTTGCTCTCTGTGGATTTGCTCTCTGTTATTCATGGTCAGGAAGGCATCCCTCTCTACTTGAGCCAGCTTTTCTTCCAACTTACTCTGCTCTTGTGCAGCTTGTGCCAACTGATGTTCAGCATCCACATGCATGCGATCAGCATCACCTGGAGATACACCCATATACCCAACTCAAACTCTCATACAGATTAGATGGAGACACCTATCACACATTGAGAATGATCCAGGATCAGCAAGATCTCATATGGTGTTTTATTTATAGTGGATTCTCATCCATGTCTTTACATGGAACATGCTAGCTTAACGCCACTTATGTGATCCATATGTGTTTGTACGAAGTGGTGGGACTGGTCAGCTGAGAAAGCAGCTCTAGTGATCCTTCAGCCCAGCTGTTGCAGAGTTCACAGCTGAAATATGGATCTCTAGTGGGCTGTTGAAAAGGCTTCATGGTCAGGGGGTTTGGCACGGAGGACGGGGGTCTCTAAAGAAGGGGGATACTCACGCGTCAAGGCCTCGTTAGCCAGGAGCAAGCTGCGCCTCTCCCCCTCCATCCTGGTACACTTGGCCTCCAGAGACGAGGCAAGCTCCTGGCTCTCAAACAGAGCTGTCTCCAGGGACTCCTTCTCTGTTCTAAAACACAGCAACAAAGTGGTTTAAGCTCTGAAAAAAAAGACTTTTTAACCACTAGGTGTAGAATGTCATAAAATCTAATGACCCATTGGGAGCATCATTTTCAAATAAAACCTTACTTAAAGGTTCTTGATACATGTGATTTGCTGGGCTTTAGAAAGTAAAATTTGTTTAAAAAGTCTGAATGACCTTAAATACACATCGGCTGTGGGTCTGACTTAAACAAGCACACACACCGGGATACTTACAGTGCTCTGGGGATACTGTACTGACTTACATTCATCCCTTACTCTTTTAACCTAACCAAAACTAATAGATGCCTCAGACAAAAAACTAGAATTACCACCTTGTGGTTGCATGCTTCCACCAACAAGCCAACTTAAGGGAATGGGACAGATGTGAGAATACAGTAACCTTGACCTTTGACAACCAAAATCTAATCATTTCATTCTTGAGTTCACATGGATATTTGTGCCAAAGTTGAAGAAATTCTCTCAAAGCATTTCTGAGATATTGCATTCACAAGAAAGGGATGGACCTGAGGTCAGAGTGATCTTGACCTTTGACATGTGACCACCAAAATCTGATCTGAGATATCGTGTTCACAAGAATGAGCCAGCCAGATGGATGGACAACCCGAAAAACATAATGTCTTTGGCCATGGCTGGTGCAGAGGCATAAGCATTACTGCAGCTTGTGTTAAATGCACCTGCAGAAAACTTGTTTTAAATCTTAAACTGGTCAAAAACATTTCAGAGGTCAGACAATGCAAACAAATACCCACAGACATACACAAACACACTCAGACCTAAGTGCAAGTAGCTCCTGCGTGAGACCACAGGCCTTTCGGTAAGCAGAATTTAACTTGACATCCATAGCAGCCTTGTCGTTGGCCAGCTCCTCCCTCTCATGAGTAGCTCTCTTCAGGGCTGTGGTCTGTGTCTCAAGCTCCTTCCTGCATGCACACAGCTGCTCTGACAAACTCTGCATCTGCCTGTTTACCTGGAAACCAACACACACAATTAAAGAAGTGTCATCAAGCAATTAATTAATACTTTTTTACTTCAAGCTGCCATAATAAACACTATGCAGTACATCATCGAATGTATTAAATGAATGTTTCATGAGCAGGAGCATGAGAAAACCAAGAAACCTCCTACGTTAACAGCTATGTTATATTTGGGTATACATACTGTATGTGTTGGAACCATCCAACCTCTAAATTTTATGCAGCCATATTTGGTGAACTAATATTAAACTCTACAAACCCCTCTTTGTGAAGTTATGAAGCATAAATTACACAAACTTTAAGCAATTCATGAAAGGGTATAGGAACTGCAGGGCCATAACAAATGCACTGCCTGAAAGAAAACAAAAACAATTAATAATCAGCTTTATTTGGCCAACTATGTTACACACAAGGAATTTGTTTCCGGTACAGAACCGAGGCAGCCATCTGCGGCACCAACTCACACCGACGGCTCTAACCATCAGGGGCAAATTGGGGGTTCAGTGTCTTGCCCAAGGACACTTCACTGTGGGCTGCAGGTGCCATGATTCAAACCACCAACCCTCCGGTTGGGAGATGACTGCTCTGCCCACTGAACCACAGTCGCCCCCGTAGGGTGATGTGGGTTTTTTTTTCCTAATTAGTGCTCAAATCATTATGACTACAGAACCTATTTCTAGCAAATAATAATAATAATGACGTAGGAATATGTGCAGTTCATGCGGGACTTGCTGAATTTTATTATTTATTAAACTCCAAAAATAGATTAATCTTTGGAGATTCCGGGGCAAGGGTTCTCATGGGATTCATCCCTCTATAAATTCACTGAATGCAGCAGTTAACTATAGAAACAGCACTTAAATGCAATCATAATATGCACATTATTTTCACTAACCTCATCAATTCAGACTTGAACATGGCTAAAAAGGTCAGACTAAAACTTCAGGCTACAACCGTAACCTTGGCTCTCTGATAGCATCACTATGGTGTATGCCAGCATTTATGAGGCCGTAAAGGTGGACTACTGAGTAAATTAGTCTCTGTGTTCAGCAAGGTGACATTTAATATCCCAGACAGCTTCTGTAATCTCATTTGGCCACTTGTTAGCAACCGACTTTTTTAAGACACATGAAAGCATTCAAAATCACGGCAGGTATTTACTAAAGTATTTTATGTTGTAGAACAAAGAATGGAAATATACTGGCCTTGTGTTAACCACATGCCTTATTTCAGGCATCTAACCAAAAACCTATTCAAAAAACCCACTGACTTTAGGGTGAAACAGAAATTACCACTGCATACCTAGCAATATCCTCCTTGTGACAAGAAAACCCCAGTGGCCCACCCAAAAAATAGTTCCTGCACCTAACCCCCTGTAAAACCAACTTGTCATATGTACACTATGTATTGATTCATCAAATAAAATACAATGTACTGATTAGTGAGTTTTAGAGTTGCTGTCAGTAGGTCTTTCCCCCTGCTTCAAGTCTTTATGTAAAACTATTCTTATTTCTCAGCAAGAAATGTAATTAGCCTATTTCCAAAAATGTCAAACTAATCATTTATGTATTATCCTTTTGGTTTTACTCAAACAGTAAAGCTTTTTACTAAAATCTACAAGATCTCAAACACTGCCTGGTGTTTCCCTGTTTTACTGTGCCTTTAAGGCCAGTTACAACATACTATCACACAGTGACTGAGTCTGAAATGGACCCTGGCAACTTCTAATATTTCAGTGCAACAGAATGTTTGAAAAGGAACAATCAGGGTAATTTGATTTTGAACCAAACTAAAATTAACTCACACTAACTAAATATTAGCACATGATGTCCTTCAGCCGCATCTTAAGTAAATATTAAAGTGATTTACACCAGTGTTATGGATATGAGTAGTGTCCGGTAAGGTGATGAAACATGAGTATAGTATATTGGAGGCCACTCCAGGGCTTATTTTATACACAGCTGATTTATTTTTATAGATAAGCTACCTAAAATGTTTGGATAGAATTTGTCAGATTGTTTTGGTTTGTTATATTCTAACTGAGCTCAACATGGATATCGCAGTTTCACATTCAGAACAGATAAAACAGAAGAGAATTCTTTTCATTCTTTATGGGACTAAACTGGGAGATAATGAAGGGAAGACTGGGAATACTCGAGGTGTTAATGTATTGGCTCGTTTGCTAAACCCTTACTGGATATTATATGTCTATCTATTTATCGTTTCCAGTTCACATTTGTTCATGAAGATTCCTTACATGTTAGGTCCCAAGTTACTCATAAAATACAGAGTGGAGCCCCCACTGCTCTCCATATCCCATTTGAAAGAAAAAAAATGTGGCAGATGTGTCCAGTATCTCCAATGCCTTTTAATGTGACAACAAGCTCCATGAACCTGCTGAAAGCTATTAATAACATCAAGTCTCCAAGGTGGTGGGAGGTGGGAGAATGGAGGCTGAAGTGCATTAATGGCCGGGGGTCCCTGACCTGGGAGTGCTGTTCCAGTGCCTGAGTGTATTCTTTCTGCAGCAGGCTCAGCTCTGCTTCTGCCTTCTGGCAGAGATCCTGCAAATGGCTGTGGGAGCTCTCCAGGGCTTGTTTCTCAGTGAGCAGATTCATCATCTCCTGCTGCACCCGTGCTGTCTCCTCCCTGGCTGCTGCCCTCTCGACTTCAGCTTCCCGTCTACGTTCACCAAGCTCTGTTTTCTTACATTCTGTCTGGAAGGGATACAATAAATTTTTTTTTTTTTACTTCTGTTTTATCCAGCTCTGCCTTACATCAAGGTGACAAAGCAGCTACCTGCAGAATACCTGTAGCAGAATACGATTGAGTTCCACCTTGTCTTTCGCTAAGCCTTCACTCAGGGCAGCCATTTTGGCCAGAGAATCTTTTAGGGCAGCCTCTTGATTCTGCAGTTTGGTGAGGGCTAACTCCTGTGCAGCATTCTGGGACTCCATCTGTGGAAAGCATCATACATATTAGAAGGCTTTACATCATTAGGCCCCTGGGGGAGAATCCAGTAATACACATCAGGCTACACAACACAGCAGTCTACCTTGCTGAGAGCCAGAGCAAGACTGGCCTTTTCATTCTCCAACACCTCCTTTTGCAGGGTGTTGTGACTCAGAGCTTCCTTCAATGAAACAAGCTCCCTGCGCAGATTAGAGTGTTTCCTTTCAAGCTCCTCCAGACTTCTCTCCCTGAAACACAAATGTACAGTACCACATACATGAGCACAAAATCTATTAACAGTATTCCATCTCCACTTTGTATGAAATGTCAGTGCCAAAGGCCAGAACACTGAAAGCGTTCATTCTTGGCTGTATCACATGTCCTGCTATAATTCTCAGTTAATGATTTTTTATAAGCAGACGAAACCCTCAAAAAAGGAAAACGGTTTCCTTCTGTAAATCATTTACATTTTTATCCAAATGACATCTGGGTGCACTGCTGACTGGAGAATTAAGTGTTAGTGATCTGAACTCCAAACAAAGAGGGCTTGAAAACAATCATGGGTGCGTTGTGCAATGGTCATTCATCTATGTTCATGCTGTACCCTCTTAGGGCCTCTGTGTGCTGATGTGCCAGCTGCATCTCCAGATCTTCCCTCTGCTGCCTCAGAAGGTCCCGCTCTCTCTGGAGCTCCAGTGAAGAGCCCCGAAGTACCTCGAGCTCGGCACGCTGGGAGTCCACGTCCTGCTGCAGCCCTGACAGTAGCTCCTCCAGGCTGCTCTTCTCACTGACAGTCATGCAGATACAGAGAAGCAGTGAAAAAGGAACAATGAGAGTATATGCTAGACAGTCACTGCGATCGCCACCATTGTAACACTTGATTTTTCTAAAACTAATATCAACAAAACACAACTTTGCAAACAATTCTTGTACAATGTTTTATAAATATTGTTTTGGAGAGGTAGCTATAGAGTATATTTAAATTCTGATGATGATAGTGATTACTGTCTGCTTAATTAAACAAAAACCCAAACTATAATATTTGTCATTATTAAAAACAACATTAAGGCCAAATGAAAATTTCACATTTAATAAAAAAGTCCAAGTCTACAATTAGCAACAGAATAAAAATAACTAGCTTTTATCAATGTTTCGAAGCGGTGACACACTCTGGGAAAAGTATAATGACTGCATGACCAGCATGTACCTGGAGATGAGCTCTACTGAGCAACGATATCTGTTGCTGTCTGTGAGGTTTTGCTCTAAGGCCGTTTTAGCTTCCTGACTTTCTTTCCTTGCTTCCTGAATCTTCTGCTCCAGCTCTCTCCTCTCAGTGTCCCTCTCCTGCAGGTGATTACGCAGTGTCGCCACTTGTTCTAGGGCAGCGTCCAGACATCCATGCAAGTCCTGTAGTTTGTATGTGACAGCATGGCTATGCAGATACAGACACTTGGGTAAAATGTTGAGAATACTGTTTCTCTAAAATACGCAAAATGAGCAAAACATGGCAAAAACTAGCCACTTTTGTCTGACCTGTGTTTGTTTCTGGTGCTTGGAGAGAGCACTCTGCACAGCCATCAGGGTAATGCTTCTCAGAGGAGACCAGCCATGGAGAGGTAAGGATGACACACTTTCATAGCCACTACTATCATCTTCTCCACCAACCAACTGGACATTAGTTTGATTAGGAAAAGAAAATGATTTATATTTGTATATAACAAACTGCACAATCAAGCAAAGTTCTTTGTTTTGTTCTGACCTGGTGAATATCACATAAAATCTTTTGAAGGGATTGAATCTCTGTGTGGAGGATCGTCACCTCTGCTTTATCCTCTGCTCTCCTTGTCTCCTAAGCAGGAAACCATTTAAGGTCAGATAAACAGCACACATAAAGGAAGCCAGACATTCCCCAGACTGCAGCCTGCTAGACAAGGAAGTTGGGGAGTTTATCAGACCTAAGGTCCAGACTAGAGCCAAATCAGCACCCTTAACCACCCATATACATCTGCCACCTTCCAATTCTGATTCCCAGGGTCTCACCATCCTGTCGAGACTGATTTGCATGGTGTTGAGGCTGGTATCCTTCTCACTGTTCTGGCTCCGGAGGTGCTTCACTGTGTCAGTCAGCTCCAGGATTCTAGATACACATGCAAGGAAATGGAGAGTGAAAATCAAACACACACACACACACACACACACACACACAGAGAGAGAGAGAGTTCCCTGAGACACTGAATACACAAAGCTGGCAGTATTCCTCCTCTACAAGATCATCAACACTATCATGTTCTCCACATAGGCACAATCATGGGATTAACAGTGACTTTTGATCAGATCAAAAAGCACCTTAGATCGAGAATACAAAGACACTGACATTCTTCCTGCACTCACTCTGGCTGAAGTGCACAGGAGACGATACAAAAGACCTGTATCTTCTTTATTAACACAAGAGCAGTAGCCACTGAAAATAGCCTGATGTGCAGGATTTTAATGATCAAAGGCTACTAAATGTGAAGTTTTACGATTCCATTTAGGGGGTTAAATTTGCCTTTTCATTCAGTCATAGGAAGAATGTGAAATTTTCCAACTGATCAAACAGTTACAATATACATGACCTCAAGCTCAGAATTTTTATTTAAGTCTAGGATTTATTTTTTATAGTCCTGTTAGATCAACCAAGAGACTTTAGAAAAATATAGATGTAGGATTTCTGAAGCCTGCATGTTCTCCCCGTGCTTGTGTGGGTTCTCTCCGGGTACTCCGGCTTCCTCCCACTGTCCAAAGACATGCGGCTTAGGTTGATTGGTGAATCTAAATTGCCCATAGGTGTAAATGTGTGTGTGTGTCGTTGTTCGTCTGTGTGTTGGCCCTGTGCTGGAGCGACGACCTGTCCAAGGTGTACCCCGCCTTTCGCCCAATGCTGGCTGGGATTGGCTTCAGCACCCTCCGTGACCCCGTTTGGGACTAAGCGGTATAGAAAATGAGATGAGATGAAAGATTTCTGGAGCCCATCTTTTGATTTTGATAAATTGAACGCTTGAATGGGGTTCACCACCATAGTCCCTAACACTTGAATTAGCTAAGTCTGGGTGATATGATGTATATTGTGAGACAGGAGAAGTTTTGTCTGCTGTCAATTTTTCCATTTATTTATTCATAAATAGTTTCTAAACTGATTGGTGCAGGTAAGGTGGGAACACTCACATACAATTTAAGTGAAAATGTATTTAACAGCAGAATAGGCGACATTGGGCCTTATGTGGGAAGTCACTGAAGATGCATTGAAATCTGTGGAAAAGTATTAATGTGTCAGTAGGTGAGGGTTTCCCCAGCTGCTCACAGTCATTGTTGCACCATAAAATCTAGTTGTTCTTAAACAAAATCCAGGTTGAAGCAAACAAAAAAAAAAATCATAGCTGAAAAGAAGCGAACATGACTTTAGAGAGAGATGACATTACCTAGAGTTAAGTTCCACTTTCTCTGCACCCCAGCGACCCTGAAGCTGCATGGCCTCTTTGAGCTTGTCCTTCAGCTGCCTCTCCAGCGCTGACTTCTCCACACCACAAGAGGTGCCCTCCTGTGTTACATCAGCTTCTAAATTCATGCAGGCAACATGAAGCTGTCGGCTGACAGCAATGCACTCCCCGTGCATATCAGACAGAGTCCTGTTGAAAAGATTCATGTGTATCAAGGTTTACAGAATGTGTCATAACACATGAGAGGTCTGAAAGGATAAGGAAACGCCACATGCTGTTTTGACTCAAACAGTTGTGAGCCATTAGTCTAATTAAAAAATACCCATTTCATTTGAAAAGAATGGATATCTACTGTGATTAAGACACTTTGAACTGTTTTCAGATTAGGTTACAGCACAGCCTTCAGTACTGCTCACACTGGTTAAACATGAGAGAGGCCCTGTCTTATACAGCTCTAGCTTTGTTCTGATGGATGATTTCAACAGTGAGTATGGACGCCCCCCCCGAGTGAGAAAACAATGAGCATGGGCACTGGCGACCCTGTGATCTGCTCCACTTTGATCCTTGGCTGGGAGAAGTGGGTTATGGTTTTATTGGTAAGTGTGAGACACAAGAGAGTTGGGGGTTCCTGTGGAGTCCTGGGTTTCTGGAGGGATTCTGGCAGTATGCCATGCTCACCTGTCAGTGAAAGTCCTTAGCTGGGTGAAAGTGTTCCGGAGGGAGACGGCCTGGCGCCACAGTGCTCTGATACGAGCCTGTTCACGACTTAACCGGGAGGCACATGTCTGCAGAGAGAAGGAGACAACAAGGGAAATAGAGACTGGGGGATGGGTGGTAAAAAAAAACAGCAAACAATAGCACCTCTCATTTTATTGTGATACCAAACAGCTGCAATACTGGAACTCATGGACTCACACTGGCACACATGCTACATACTGTACATACAAATAATTGAATTTCCTTGAATCAACAGATGCAGGACATTTACAGCACGAACGCCAGATTGTTTGCACAAAATTTTCCTCCCCCTCAGCAGTTGGAATGTTTTCACAGGAAACAACAACTCAAAAATAATAGCACTGAAACGAACAGGGAATGAGAATGAATTGATAAAACTGGCTATGAATGGAATTCCTACCCCATGTGAACTCAGCAGTTTAATTGCACAATCTCTGTGCAGAAAGGGATAAACTTGAGCTTCCCCTGTTGCTTTTCTGACTCAAGTACTTCATTTTGGTGGTTTTTCTCACCTCTTGTTCTTTGCGCAGACGGTTATCACACAACTCAGCATCTTCGCGGGCCTTCTGCAAGCTCTCTGTTAGCCCCTGGTTGACAGTCCCTGCCTGTTCCAGTTGTTCTCGCAGCACTGAGTTCACTTGGCTGAGGCTGGCACACCTGGAAATGGCATACATTATGTCACTGAAAGACATTTGGCAATCCCCTGCCATGAAATCCTCTATTACCCTACTGCAGCACCCAAATTATTTTGTTCACATAGCTTATCACTCTTACATCTGTAGCCTTTAAATCCACACTTGCCAACCAAACTAATAGGATGAACATGTGTGACAGTTTTAAAAAGTCTGTGTCAACTTAGATTTAATTTCAACCAGATCTGCTTGTAGAGTCATTTACAAAAAAGTTTACATCATTCTTACACTCAACACGCACCCTGCTGCAGTAAAGCACGCCACATTACTGTGTTCAGTTATCTGTTTGTGATTGAGCCAAACCCATGTTTGCATG